TTGGAGACAGGATCTTCCTCTGTTGCCCAAGTTGGCCTCAAACTTCTGGGCTGAAGCCACCCTCCTATCTGAGCTACCCGAGTAGCTAGGACTGTAGATAGGCCACCATACCTGGCTTAATTGCAAACACTTTTATTTTTTGCTCTGTTCTTTTTAGTTACATGAGAATAGAATGTATTTTGACATATCATACATACATGGAATATGACTTCCCATTTTTGTAGTTGTCTATGATATGGATGAAGTTACAGTGGCTGAATATAGAAAAGTCTGATTCATTCTACAGTCTTTCCCATTCCCTTTCTCCATCACTTCCCACCACTCCACCCTGTCCAATCAGATAAACTGCCCCCACCCCCGAATATTGTGAGTCAGCATTCACAGAGAGGCCTTTGGTTTGGAAGATAGGGTTTTTTTCACTTAGCATGGTAGCCTCCAGTTCCATCCATTTGCCAGAAAATTTCATTCTTTTTTATGGCTGAGTATATTCCATTATGTATATATACTACATTTTCTTTATCTATTCATCTGTTGAAGGGCACCCAGGTTGGTTCCATAGCTTAGCTATTGTGAATTGAGCAGCTATAAACATTGATGTGGCCGCATCACATAGTATGCTGATTTTATGTCCTTTGGATATATACAGAGGAGTGGCATAACTGGGTCAAAAGGTGGTTTTATTCCTAGTTTTTTTGAGGAATCGCCATATTGCATACCAGAGTTGTTGCACCAATTGGCAGTCCCACCAGCAGCATGTGAGTATACCTTTCCCCTTGCATCCTTGCTAACATTTATTGTTACTTGTATTCTTGATAATTGCCATTCTGATTGGAGTGAGATGAAATCTTAATGTAGTTTTGACTTACGTTTTTCTAATTGCTAGTGATGTTGAGCATTTTTTCATCTACCTGTTGACTGATTGCATTTCTCCTATGAACTGTCTTTTCAGTTCCTTTGCCTGTTTATTGATTGGATTTTTTAATTGTTGTTATTGTTAAGTTTTTTGAGTTCTTTATATATCCTGGAGATAATTGCTGTGTCTGAGGTGCAGATAGCAAAGATTTTCTCCCATTTTTTAGGCTCTCTCTTCACATTATTGATTTGTTTCCTTTGCTGTGAGAGTGTGGTCTCTATTTTGCTTCATTGTAGCCTTTATGTTTCTCCTCCAGTTCCTCGTATTCCCTAGGCTCTTCTGTTGCAGAGCCCCCCTCTCTGCTGGCTCCATTTCTTCTCTTTCTCTGCCTAGGACTCTGCTTTGCATCCTCAAGGCTGGGCTCTGGCTCTGCTTCCTGGAAGCCTGCACTGCACTCAAAGATTGCTGGGTTAGGCCCTAAGTGTGCCATGGGAGGTGTTCTTTGCTCTGCATCATTAATATTACCTCACAAGTTCATTTCACTAACAATACTGTAAATTCATTATACAAAGGATTATTCCATTGACTTTCTGCTCCCTTAGATGATGGAGTGTGTGCCTCATAAAGATGTTCACCGGGCTTCGGTTGAATGAATGCTTGGATCCGTGCATGCATGAATTATGTAAGATAAAATGACCTGCAGATTTGAGCAAGACATGCTATTTGGTATTCCTGTGTGTATCCCTAGCTAAAATTATGCTAGTTAGTACATGGGTTCCCTCCCTATTTTTCCTAAAGAAGCTGAATATAATTATCTATGTGGTTAAGCACATGAGACTTGTTTTTAAAAGGCTTCTCATGAGAAACCATGCCATGTGTTAGAGTTGTGTAGAGTTGCCAGTCTGAGTCTATTTATTTTACAGGGTAAGGCTGTGACTTGAAGACATAGTAATCCTGAGTGATGCTCCTGTAACATATGTAAAAGAGAGGTTTTCTTACCCTGTGTTCTCTCAGTACTGCCTTGAGTAGTCCTTAGATCATTAAGTACATTTACCTGGAGCATAGGTAATAGAGCATTTACCTAGCAGGCATAGGACCTGGAATCAGTCACCAGCACTGCTAATAAGGAAACAAAAATTTGAATAAACATCCTTTTGAGATGTGCTTCTTTTAGTAAAAAGTATATAGGATTACTATAAAAGTATAAGCCAGTAGGGTTCATGCCAAAAGTAAGCAAATAAATGACTATATAGTCCCTTTCCTTTTTATTCTTTTCAGAAAGTATTTAGTTGTTAAAAATATGCCTTTCTTTAGGGCTTAATTATTTTCCTTAAAAACCAGAGGTAAATATTTTATTCTGTTTGAAAAAAAAAAGTAGATTAGTCAGTCTCATGTTACTCTGGTGATAGATTTGATTATTTATTTGGAGGGATAGCAGAGACTGAATGTATGAAGTACAGAGAGGAACCATTTCTCTGTAATATTAAGTTTTTAACTTCTTAGTGTTCTTTGTCAGATCAAATTTAGTTCATTTAATAAAATACACGTATACATAAGTTATATATCCAATTTTATATTCTAATTGATGACATTTTAATCCACAAACAAGGCTGTTTTTATAGCTGATACTAAAGATAATGTTGGTGGAACCCTTTTTCTCCACTCTTGATGTTTCCTTGTATGGGCAGGAGCTCTACTAGTGCAGCACTCCTGACTACCTTCTCACTTCCCAAGCAGGAGCTGCCTGAGAAGAAGCACAGGGTATGCTTAGCTCAGTCCCTTCTTTGGGGATCTAAGTGCCTATGGGAACCCCATTTCTTCATCCTGTGAGTTATACAGCAGCACCCAACATATGGAAGGCCTTGTGGTTTTCTAATGCTGCCTGTGACTGGGTGGGTGAGTCTGTTTAATTCTGTCCTTTAGTATTAGCAAGCACATTATTCAGACCTATACCAGATGTTGCAGCTGCAGTTTTATCAGTAAGAAAGGTGGAATTTTAATAGCCAGCCTGCCTTTCTCTTTAAATTTGTTGCTCATTTGTTCCAAAATTCAGGTGGGGATTTGTGGTATCCATCATCATGCCACTGTTCTTCATATAGGTTTTATTTCCCACAACACACTTCAAAATGAGTTGCTTTCAGATAAGGAAGATGGGGTCCTGTGAGAGTAAATCACTTTAAGTGATCAAGTTTGATTTGGCACCCTGGTCAGGCTAACTCACAAACTCATGTCCATTAAGACATATTGCCAGTGAAAATATCACTGTTAAAAGCTTTTAAAGGACTTTACATAATATAAATCACTGAATAATACAAGTGAGCTGGATTCTTTTGTAGACTTGCATTTTTATGGCTGTAAATTAAAAAAACAAACCAAAAGAATGCATTTTAATATAGTCTGCAAGTCCCTAAATGAATAGGGCCTTGTCTACCTCCCTTGGTTCCACTTGCTGCCTTAATTTTTTAAAAATATTTATTTTTTGGTTGTAATTGAACACAATATCTTTATTTTATTTATATGTGGTGCTGAGGATTGAACCCAGGGCCTCCCACGTGCTAGGTGAGCACTCTACTACTTAGTCATAATCCTAGCCCCATTGCTGCCTTAATTTTAAGCAGCTTTTTCTAACCATCTTGGGCTTCCTATGCTATTTATTATGACTAGAATACTATTTCTTTCCATTCTCCTTCTTTGCTTGGTTAACTTCTGCTTACCCTTCAGATCTCATTTCATATGTCATTTCCTTGTACTGGCCTCCTGTGTCCACAATATCTACAGCTGGTCCACATTGTGATTTCTGGCAGCTATTTGTTCTTTCCCTTTATCACCCTGGCCATCATTAGTGCTTAAGTATTCATTTCAAACTTACACTCCCCAATAAACTGAAACCCCATAAACATAACAACCCCTTGTTTTTTGTTTACCATTGTGGGCCTAGTGTCTTGCCACAATGATTGTACAGTTTGGCACACAAAGAATGCTTGGTGGGTGAAAAATGGACATAGTTTTTGACATCATGCATTAGTCTTAAAATCTTAGACTATCCTTTTCTACTAATACTTACAAATAACATGTAAAAGATAGCTCCCCCCATGATTACAAAAAATAAAAATTATATAACTGAAATCTCTACCCTTGTTTTGGGACTTTAAACTATTTGGAAGCATAGAGTGAATTTACGAGTGAGCCTACTGAAAGGTTAAATGTATAGGGATAATAAAAGACTAAATTGCACCAGCAATGGAACCTGCTTTATATGGTCCTGAGATATGGGATATTGTTATATTTAAGTATGAAAGTAATATTTATTAGGCATCTACTTCTCTTTGTTTTTTTCAATATCTAGAAACAACATCATAAAGTCTGGATTAGTCCTCTAGGCATGTTCATTGGGAATATACCTAATCTACACTTTAATATCATTCTTGAAACATTATTTTTGTTGATACATAAAATGAGATCATGATATGGTAGTTAGCAAGTTAGTTTTTGTTTCCTAGCCAAGTCTAAAAATATCATATAAAATGTCAGAAAGAGTTGAAATTCTGCTTTTCATATTGGCTGTACCAATTTGCAGTCCCACAAGCAATGTATGAGTATGCCTTTTCCCCCACATCCTCGCCAACACTTATTGTTGTTTGTTTTCATAATAGCTGCCATTTTGGCTGAAGTGAGATGATATTTTAGAGTAGTTTTAATTTGCATTTCTCTAATTGCTAGAGATATGAAAAATTGTGCTCTATATGTGTAATAAGAATTGTAATGCATTCTGCTGACATATATTTAAATAAAATCAATTTTAAAAAAGAGTTGAAATATTCCTAAGGAACAAAGTTAAGAATTTTTCTATGTACTTTTCTCCCTCTCCCTGTTGGGTTAATTTAACATAATTTATAGCTTGCGGTAGGTAAAATCATGACATTTATGCACATTTTATTTTGTATCCCTCAATCTTCAAAGTGTTGATAAATCCAGAATTTCAGTTTTCTGGGCAGCTGTTCCCCTTGAAAAACTGCCCATGGATTATAAACCACTGAACCAAGATCTGCATGAAAATGACATCGATCATATTCTCTCAGGTCTTACTGTTTTGATGTGACAGCTGACATTGCTTCTTTTTCTCCCCTCTCTACTTCTGCTATTATAGGGCATTGATGTACGAGATGCTCCCCTGAAGGAAACAAAGGTGACTAGTTCCAGAAGATTCATAGCTTCATTTAATGTTGTGAATACCACCAAACGAGATGCTGGAAAGTACCGCTGCATGATTCGCACTGAAGGAGGTGTTGGGATATCAAACTATGCAGAACTGGTAGTTAAAGGTATTTAATGTGTTTTTATATCCTGCATTTAAGTCTATTGAAATAGATACGTTAGATGGACTTTTTTTTCATTATTTGCTTAAACCAAACTTGTCCTATTTTTGAACAGTAGTTTGGTGACAGGTTATATTGACAGATTGCATTTTAAGTACAAATTTTGTACATGAGCAATATTTTTGAAAAATGCATATTATTTATGTTCATTTTGTTACATACAAAGCATTGAATGTGCTCTTGGCAAAGTCTTTTGCCAACTCTGTACATACAGATTACAACCTATAATTTTTTTAAGGAATTAAAATTTTTTTACTGATATAAAATCACATAAAATGCAAATATTCATCAGCCAGGGTGTTTATAATAGCAGAGTGGTTAATAAAATGAAACAGTGTCAGTATAAAAATGCTCCATCATATCACATGAGCCATATTGATAATGCTGCGTTAACATTCATAACGTTCCAGTTAGACTCTATTACTATATTTTGTGTGCCACGAAAATTGATTCATTATATTCAAGAGGGTTGGGAATGAGGGGAGAAAAAAGAGAGGGGAAATAAGTTTTCTTTAGCTTATTTAGTGCTTTTTTGTGGTCTGAGGAGTTTATAGTATTAAGCTGTAAAGGCAATTTTGGGCCCCAGACAATAATTGGACTTGTAGATGTGCCATGTGGCATTTTTTAGGAAACTGTGGCAGGCCAGTGCTGGTTTTTCTAGGAGAACAAGATGACACCTTATTTAATTTTATTTGTTCGGTGCTGGGAATGTAACCTAGGACTTCATGCATACTAAGCTATGCTCACTGAGGCCTCCAGCCCTGGGCCTTTATTTTAAACTTTTGTTTTGCATTTCTTAAATATGAAATATAAAATTGATCTTCTAAGGAGAAGCCATTTCTTTGATCAGCAAATTCCCCTTTTAAGACAGAACTAGCTATGTGTGTACAGGTCAAGGGCTTGCCCTCTCTGAGTATCTGTTTCCTTGTATATAAGATAGCTATTATAATGTCACCTATCTTATAGGATAGGAGGATGAACTTCTAAAAGTATATTGCAGCACTTAGAACAGTGCACAAAGCTGGCACATATAGGGCTGTGATGGGGAGGAGAAGTTCAGAGGTGTTCTTACTGTCTGAACCAATAGACCAGTTGTTGTCATCTGGGAATGCATACCAGAACTCCCTTTCCACATTCAAAAAGGTATAATGCCTGCCCACCTCTCCTCTTGGGTCTCCTCCTGCCACACCCAGAAACAGAATCTCTCGGTGTATAATTTCTATTATAAAGCCTGCAGGTAGTTTGTATATGAGTTTCGTTGGGAGATCAGTGTTGTGTGTAGTCATCATGCATGGCTTAGAAGACAGCACTGGCCTTATCAGAGCCTGTCCCTTGAGAATTACCAGCAATGAAGGATATTCAGCAGAAGGAAGCACATGCCAAAACATCTATCTGAAGCATCGCATGGTGGTGCACACCTATAATCCCAGTGACTCAGAAGGCTGAGGTAGGAAGATTGTGAATTTATAGCCAGCCTCAGCAATGGCAAGGTGCTAAGCAACTCTCTCAGTGAGACCCTGTCTCTAATAAAATACAAAATAGGGCTAGGGATGTGGCTCAATGGTTGAGTACCCCTGAGTTCAATCCCCGGTACCCCTCACGACCTCATAAATCTACCTGAATCATATGTGTTGCCACACCAGAAAACAAGTGTTTTGATTTGTAGTGAAACTTTAACTAGCCTTCCTGGGAAAACTTTTGGATTTAGGTTTAATATTTATAAAATTTATAATTTTTTTATAAAATATTTATAAAATTTATAAATTTATAAAATTCATCATTGCTGTACACACCCTAACCTTCTGAAGATTCTCTGGTGAGACGTCACAGTATATAAAGTGGGTAAATTTTATTGACAAATGTTGTAGAATGGCCTAAGTCTTCCCATCATCACTGTTGTTATTTAACTTTGATCTTGGTTCAATTCTTTGTTATTAGTTTCACTTTTTGATTAATAGTTTCTCTCACATTTCACTGTGGTCCATGCTGTGTGGTTGATGCACCAATGGCAAATATGGTAGCCTCTTTAAAAATTGCCTCTGTGGAAAAGTTAATTTGTTGGGAGGTAAAAATAAATCAGAAATTTTTAGACTGCTAGAACAAACCTAGACATAAGGAATGTACACATTTGTGCTCCATGCTTTCCTATGGTAGTATCGCAGCTCATTGATAAAAATGTACTGGCACCAACTCCCATCTCTGCATGCTTCCTATGCCAGTGATGATAGGTTGGGATTCAGGTGGCACTCAAATCTGAATTTGTCTTTTCTCCCATTTATAATTTTATTGCCAACTTCTGTATATACTTCATAATAAAAATGAAATTATATACCATTTTCTATTAGTTTAATGAAGTTATTTTCCTTGTGAGACAGTTACTTTAAAATACACAATAGCATTGTTAGGGCACTTACTTATAACACTTTTTGTATGTTATATAGAATTTGGAATGCTAATGTTCTACACATGGGAAGAACTACAGTCTCAAGAGTTTATCATTTTCTTAAGATCACAGTCTGAGTTGGTGACAGCCACCCAAATAAAGCCCAGACTCTTTTACTATAACTCTAGTATTTATTCATGTCTACCGCTGCTTGTGGTAATCAAATACATAAAAATATTTCATATAATCTCCATAATGCATGTATAAATGCACATATCAATATAAAGTTTAATTATATGATCTGTATATTTATATATGATTTATAGATCTCACATAATTAAATATGATATTGACATATGCATCAGACATTCATTTATATCAATTAGGTATATGTATGTGTGTGCTTATGTGAGTACATTCTCTCATTACTGGTTTGATTTAGAATTAATTGTTTGGTGTCCTTTCTCTTGAATTAAACATTTAGCCAGGGGAAGTGATGCATGCCTGCAGTCTTTGGTACTTAGGAGGCTGAAGCTGTAGGATCACGAGTTTGATCCCAGCCTGGGATACATAGTGAGACCTTACCTTGGGGGAGAAGAAGAAGAAGCCTAAGAAGGTGGAGGAGGAGGAGGAAGGGAGGGGGAAGAGGGAGAAGGAGAAGGGAGGAGGAGATATTTTAAATTGTTTCATATTAATGCCTATAGACTGAAACCTATTCTTCCTCCCTCATTCTCTTCCTTCATTTTTTTCCTTTTCTATGAAACTTTGTTCATAATTTAAATGGTTGTTGACTAATTCTTATGTTGATTCTTCCAGAAACCAAAAGTCCTTTTGAATGTCTGTCCTAGTTGTTTCCAGTTCTAGTAGAGTGTTTCATTTGACTTAGTGTGTGAGTTACTTTTCTCTGGACAAAAACACATTAAAGCCATGTCAATTTTAGGATACTAGTAACAATATCCTAAATAAGTGGTACTACCTACATCTCTTTGTGACCTTATCCCTGGGTTGTATTTTGACTGGCAGTACAACAGTCCTTGAATATAATTAGCTCTTTCTGCTTGGCTATATGAATGCCTTAGGATGTATTATGAAAGGCCCATTTTATGTTTTGGTTCAAGGAATGGCCTAATGATATAAATTAATGTTAATTTTTTAAAATTAAGTTAGAACTGTTTGAAGCTCAAACTTTCAGTGTATAAGCTATAGGAACAAAGTTTTAGTACACTGACATCATAATTATAAAGAAAATTCACTGAAAATTTGATGTGGTCTTTCTCTTTTTTAGTCATTCTAGTAAGCTACTTTATATTTATTTGATTTGGTGACAGCCACACAAATAAACCATAAAAATATTTCATAATATACACAAGAACAAGGACTCCCCACCACAATAAAAGGAACAGAGTTCTTAGTGCAAGCCTCAGAGGTACTTGTTGCCCTGAGATCTTGTTCATCAGGAAACAAGACTATGATCCATTAGTGATGTTTGCCGTGTGAGAGGGCAGGAGAAATTGCAGCAAGCAACAGCATGTGCCAGTAACAGCCTGGAACATGTTTTATTTCACACACATTATATGACCAAAATGAGGACTTAAGTTCAAACACACACCAAAAAAGCACAGATCACCTGTGGGAACAATCTTGAGAACAATCACTAGATCTCATGTTTTTCTGAGATGACAACTCATAGAAGTAAAAATGTATTATTTTGTATAATGATCTTGCTCATCACATATGTCACTACTCACAGTGACATTCACTTACAGAATATCTTCATTTGAGTCTTGAGGTCCATTCACCTAGCATCTGCCTAATAAGCTGGGGAAATTATTTAGGGTAAGATTGCTCATCTTTCTTCTCAGACAATGATGTAGGAAAACACAGCAGTCTCTGGTTATAAACAACAGAATAGACTTTCTCAGGTTGTATAGAGCATCTGCTATTGACTTCTTAAACTTTTATCAAGCTAGGTATAGCTTGTTCTTTGATTCAGAGATTTCCTTTCTATTCATTGCTTTAATAAGACTCATTACTAGAAATTCCCTGATAGTAGCAGCAGTGGATTTTATTATCCAGAATGCTCAATTCTCTGATAGCTAAATGAGTCCACTGTGATTTTTTTTGGTGGGGGGGGGAATGAGTCATCCTAGAGATATGTTTATGATGAAATAAACTATACTTTCATTTTGTTTTTAAAATGATGCTATCTTGGGTATATTAATGTAGGAAGACTCAATTTAATGATGTAGAGAACTCTAGTACTTTGGGTGATTTAAAAATGATTCTCAATAAGGAAGTTCAGAGAGTTTTTACCATTCACTCTGATGTATGTATAGCTGTTTGAGCAAAATGAGTTGTGTGTTTAGAACGATTAGGGGCATATCTACTTGAACAAGTTAGGTTTGTTTTGTTTCATTTTTAGACAGGGTATCCCTGTTTTGCCCAGGCTGGTCTTGAACTCCTGGGCTCAAGTGATTCTTCCACCTCAGCCTGCCAAGTAGCTTCGACAAATATGAGCCACCACACCCAGTTCAAGTTAGGTTTTATAGATGGTTTTTTTTTTTTTGCAACTGGGAGCCTTATGGAAACATTTGTTAATGTGCTTTTTCTCATTAACCTGAACAAAACTCTTCTCATCAGTTCATTCCTGAAATGTTAATGTCTTGTGTATTTTAATCATTGCGGCATGATGTTGTCTTTAAATACAAAAGACAGAAGCATCTGAAAGATGGTTCTCTGGTTTACCTTCCAGAACCTCCTGTTCCTATTGCCCCACCCCAGCTGGCCTCTGTGGGAGCAACCTACCTGTGGATACAGCTCAATGCCAACTCTATCAATGGGGATGGGCCCATTGTGGCCCGTGAGGTGGAGTATTGCACAGCCAGTGGGAGCTGGAATGATCGGCAGCCAGTGGATTCCACAAGTTATAAAATTGGGCACCTTGATCCAGATACAGAATATGAGATTAGTGTCCTACTCACCAGGCCCGGGGAGGGTGGCACTGGATCTCCTGGGCCGGCTCTTCGGACAAGAACAAAGTGTGCTGGTGAGTATTAAGGAAATCTGCAATTAGTCATCTTGGTCTTTCTGTCTGCTAATGTTAGGGTTCATTGGGTGGCTCCTCTGCTTCCCTAAATATATCATCAACTTTGTATGTGAATAAAATGTTCCTTCAGTCTAGAGAACAGCAGGTTAACATCTTGTGAACTTGTGGGTTGATATCTTTCAGCTTTCTTCCATCTCTTCTTCCTATTTTCAATGTACACCTCTCTCTGAGTACCCTCCAATTCATACTAGAATGGTCCCTAAGGACACAGAAACTGTCTACTTCAATGATGTCTGCTAATGGGTCAGACCCTCTTTTTGTGGTTCCTTTGTTTTGTGTTCATGGCTAATGTGCTTTTAACCTGTGGGGTCTTAGTAATAATATAGATTCCATTGTAGATAGGAAAAAGTTGTGGGTTTATTTTAAGAATTTTTTTTCACAATTTAGGGTAAGATTGCTTGTCTTTCTTCTCAGACAATGATTTAGGAAAACACAGCAGTACCTTTATTCTATTTATTTTTATGTGGTGCCGTGGATCAAATCCAGAGCCTCACACATGCTAGGCATGTGCTTTACTGCTGAGCTACAGCCCATGGAAAGCTATATTTTATTAATGGATATCTGATAGAGGGCAGCTGGCCAGTGACTGGGAACCCATATGTAACATGAGCAGGAATGGTTTGTGGGTTTCATGCAGTTTTTGAGTTCTTTGAATGCAGAGTCCTAATTATATAAACCTATCCTGCAACTTAAACAAAAGTAGGATTAATGAAGAGGGAATGTAATGTGTTATAGAAATTGGAACCTAAAGATAGAGATTACAAGGGCTATTTCTGTATGGTGACTCTTTGGTAGGAAGATAAATAACGTGTTGGGTTCCTACAGTGCACTTGTATGGTGGACATGAAGAGTCCTTGTATTGATGTGTCTGAGAGGAGGAAATTTCGTGAAGTTTTATGGAGTTAGTTAATTCTTCACATAGCATTAATTAAAAAGTTAAGTAAGTTCTGTTTTTAAATTTAAAAGTACAGTTGGCCCTGTGCATCCATAGGTTCTGCATCCATGAATTCAACTACCATTGGTTTGAAAGTATTCAGAAAAAATAAATTGTGTATATACTGAACATTTATAAACTTTTTTTTTCTTATTAGTATTCCCTAAATAATATAACATAAATTATTATTTTGTGACATTTATATTATATTAGTAATTGAGAGATAATGTTATGGATATGGGAAGCTTTGAGTAGGTTATATGCAGATACTACATTTTATATTAACAATTCTGGCATTGGAGGATTTTGTTATATTTGGAGATCCTGGAATCTTTAACAGTCCTAGCTGTTACATTATTTTCTATGTAATTTGGATTATGACATTTCTATAAATTTAATACTCATGGGGAAAATTCTTTTTTGTGAGAAAGATTAGTGTTAGAAGAGGGAACAGGTACTTTGTCCTTCCAGGGAGTCATGACGTTTTCTAGCAGCTTCTGTATTGGGCTGTTTATACCACTTGCCTCTGTTCCTTGATTCTGTGTTCTCATAGTATCATCCACACTGGGATATTGAATGCTCTGAGATTCCATCTCCAGTGAGAATGGCAGTTATCAAGAATGTAAGCAACAATAAATGTTGGTGAAGATGGGGGTGGGGGAAAGGTACACTTACACATTGCTGGTGGGGCTGCAAATTGATACAACCACTATAGAAGGCACTATGGAGATTCCTCAAAAAAACTAGGAATGGGACCACCATTGGACCCAGTTATGCCACTCCCCAGTACCTATTCAAAGGATTTAAAATCAGCATACTATGGTGACAGATCCACTTCAATGTTTATAGCAGCTCAATTCACAATAGGTAAACTATGGAACCAACCTAGGTGCCCTTCAGCAGATGAGTGGATAAAGAAAACGTAGTATATACACAATGGATTATTACTCACACATAAAGAAGACTGACTTTATGACTTTGCCAGCAAATGGATGGCACTGGAGACTATTAGGCTGCGTGAAATAAGCCAGTCCGGATAACCCAAAGGTTGAATGTTTTCTCTGATACGTGGAAGCTAACCTACAATAAATGGGGAATGAGGGGAAGAATAGAAGTTCAGTAGATTAGACAATGGGGAATGGAAGGAAAGAAGAGGGGATAGGAAAAGAAGAGACAGTGGAATGAATCCAACGTAATTCTCCCATGTATGTATATGAAAATAACACAGTGAATCCCACCATCATGTATATCTGCAATAATGGGATCCTAACTAGAATAAGATATATTCCATAATTGTATAATTATATCAAAATGGATTCTGCTATAATGTGTAAGTAAAAAGAACCAATTAAAAAAAAGCATAGCACAAACACACAAAACAGCTACTCTTCTGGATTGTTGCTTTCCATAGCTCTGTTTAGTGGTTCTAAAGGGGAAGGAGTTTTTTTTTTCTTTTTTTTGTGTGCATGACTCGCTTTATTAATTTGTATATTCTTTTATTTTTAGTTCTTGTGTAATTTATTTAAAAAGATTGTTTTTAAAATTTTTTGGTATGTATTAATTATACAGAATAGTTGGTTGCTTTATGACTTATTCTTTCATACATAGAAACATAATTTTTATCATGCAATGAACACTATGAATTGGGGACTAGCACATCAATAAATGAAATAGCAATTGAAAATATATGTGCAGAATGATTTTCTTATAGCAGTGCATAAATTTATGTAGAAAAGTATTGAAGAAAATAACAAAATATTTTTCTGGCTTAAGATGTACTGATTTTTATTTTCATCAAAACTTTCTGTACTTTCTTCCATAAATCAAGAACAAATTGCATTTTCAGTCACTTCTTCACTTCTTCCTTTTGGGTGTGGTGCCTTCTTTGTGGCTCTAGAAACTACTGGGAAAGGAGTTTTCTAATTCTTTCCTGGGCCTCCTCCCGCCCCCCCAAAACCTTGTCATCTCATTTCTCTCTCACTTAGTTGAGGAAATTTCTTCCATTTTGTGAAATATTTTCTTGTGTTTTAATCTGTTATAATACAAACAATATCTTACATAACATTGCCTTATGATTTTACAATATAGAAATTGCTTTCAAATTGTTATTTATTTGGCATTTGCCTCATGAGATCTTCATGGCAGATAATGTGAGTCCCCCATCATAACTGAAGAAATTGAAGCCCTTGTAGACTCCTGTGCACCTCAGTATGCTCCAGGAGAAATACCTTTAGTATTGATTTAAGGAATCCCATTTGGAACACGGCAGTATATGATTTCTCTTTCTCTCTAAAAGAAGTTATAATTTCATTGTCTAGATTGGAGAAAGAATAATCTATCTCTTTTTAGTCACTGGTAGCCCCGCTACTTAATGCGTCTAGTTCTGCCCTTACTTCCATGTTTTTGTCTTCTCTCTAGATTGTGAACATTTAACTACAGACACATTGTCATATATATATTTCCCCTGATTATAAGCCCTTTGATGCAGCTGCATGATTTGTAAATGTATAGCTCTCAAAGAGACAGAGTTCCTTTTGTAATAGATTGGCAGTCTCCCTTTGAAGAAATGGAAGCCAATTTTGAATTGGTATCTGCCCACCAACATTGTGCCTTAAAGGATTGAACCTCACTAAGTGAGAAAACCTAGTGACAAAGCACCCTTCTAATGTTCACAACCTGCACTTGACACTATTCGTGCTGCATGTCCCTAAGTGTCAAGCACTGACATAGGATATTTTTGAAAAAACTGCAATTGAGCAAGCAAACTTTAGAAAACAGAGGAAAGTATTCTAGGTGAAAGTGTCACAGTTAGAAATAAGTGGGGGAGGCAAGTTAGGTGGGTACAGAAACTGAAGTCAAATGAGACTTCTTACTGCTAGAAGAAAGACAGTGCAACCTTTCTTGACCTGAGACTTTTGAGAAAAATTTGCAGATTGGTGATTGCTATTGATGATCCTTGTGGACTTGTAGAAAGCAGGACTAAGAGGAAAGAAGACAGATGCTATAAACTGGAAACTTTGATATTCATCCCAAACTGTTGCTCAGATGGTTCATGAGCATTTATAGGGTTTATACAGAGCAAGTCAGGGATCTCATAACCCTGAGAGACTACAAAGCTTTCACAATAGTAGATAGAAACTCTGTTGACCAGGCTGTAGCACTGGATGGATCTAATACATGAGAAGCAGAAGGAATAGTACAAATTTATCCTGCATGGTTTGAACAGCCAAATTGGTGCCAAATCAAACTAATATAATTTAGCATCAGCATATCTGAAGAAGACATTGAAGATTTGGCTTAAATGCATATGAATCTTTAATATAATTCATATTAAATCAATCACTATACAATGTTATCCGCCCACCCCTAAAAAACCCCTAGAATCTTAGGTTGCATTAGGTTGCAAAATTCCCATTTTGAAGGAGGTGACCCAGTTGGATGGGCTCCCATAATTATAGTATTTATTTCTGGTCCCTGGACTTGTAGACACACAGAACAACAACAACAACAACAACAAAAAAAAAACACTTGTGCTAGGGGAACACAACTGACTTCAGTAAGATGTTGTGGAATATTATTCAACCAATGAGAGATGGTGGATAGAACTAAGAAAAGGGATGTAGGAGGTGGGGATAGGGATGAGTCATAAAATAGTGAGTTTTGGGGGGCTTATTTGTTTAGTCTGAAGAAAGTATGTCTACAGTCAAATGGATTGAACTAGTTAACCTGGATGATCTCTTCAGAATGAATCTTCTGTGATTCATTCATTGTCCTCTTTCTCATGAACTGATCCAGTGCATATTTCCACTCTCAAAGTCTTTCAGTTTCCCTTCAATTTTCACCTTGTCCAGATACACCCTAATCATGTTTATCAAGTACTTCTTTGTAGGCTGTGGAGGTCTCTGATGATCTTTCCAGAAATCTGAGCAGAGAGGGAGAAATGGTTAATTTTTTTATGGCCACATAGCTTACATTTGGAGGTCTGACTGGGACTCTTGAGATTTGC